ATTGAAGACAACGTCGTAATGACCCAGCAATTACTGAAGTAAGTTTATTCAGGTATACACAAATACAGTTACATAGAATTATCATAACAGCAGCATGTGTGTAGAGAACCTAGGATGTTCAATGAGGACAAATTCCAACTACTCCGTTATGGAAAACTGGAGGAGATAATAACTAGAACAGAGTATACTACTGACTCCGGCCATACAATAGAGCGGAAAAATAATGTAAGGGACCTGGGAATAGTAATGTCTGAGGATCTCACTTTCAAGGATCACAACAGTGCCACGATCGCACGTGCAAAGAAAATGATAGGATGGATAATGAGAACTTTCAAAACGAGAGATGCCAAGCCAATGATGATCCTTTTCAAATCACTTGTTCTCTCTAGGCTGGAATACTGCTGTACATTAACATCTCCATTCAAAGCAGGTGAAATCGCAGATCTAGAGAGTGTATAGAGATCCTTTACTGCACGTATAAGTTCTATCAAGCACCTTAACTACTGGAAACGCTTGGAAGCACTTGACTTGTACTCGTTGGAACGCAGAGGGAGAATATCATAATCTACACTTGGAAAATCTTGGAAGGAATGGTCCCAAATCTGCACACAGAAATCACTCCCTACGAAAGTAAAAGACTGGCGGGCGATGCAAAATGCCCCCAATAAAAAGTAGGCGCCATTGGTACACTAAGGGAAAACACCATAAGTGTCCGGGGCCCAAAACTGTTCAACAGCCTCCCATCAAGCATTAGGGGAATTGCCAATAAGCCCTTGGCTGCCTTCAAGAGAGAGCTGGACAGATACCTAAAGTCAGTGCCGGATCAGCCGGGCTGTGGCTCGTACGTTGGACTGCGTGCGGCCAGCAGTAACAGCCTAGTTGATCAGGCCCTGATCCATCGGGAGGCCTGGTCATGGACCGGGCCGCGGGGGCGTTGATCCCCGGAATAACCTCCAGGTAACCCCAAAAAGTCAGACAAAGTTACTTATTTCCATTGGGGTGACCTATTCTAAACCCCTCTTGCCTCCATCTTGACCTGGACTGTAGAAATGCTGAGATTCTATATGATTGGTAGAGGCAGGAACCATACATAGTTTTAAAAATAGGTATGATAGGCAACCAGGAGCGTTAACCCAGCAGCAGCGGCTGGCGGAGAAATGGGGCCAGAAGCAGAGATGGGTATCTCGTGGTACATGAGGCAGTCTTTGAAGAACAAAAGGCACAATACCGTGACTGGTATAATACACAAATTACCCGCACATAGAGAGAAAAGCTAATGATAACGTTTCTACCAGACTTGAAGCATTCACAGGTCACAGTGTGACGTGAATAGTCAAATGGGACCGAAACGTCGTCAATCTTTTGTCCTCTATGTGCGGGTTGTGTATAAGGCAGTCTTTCTACGAAGATTAAAATGATAATTTAAAACTTGCATTTCTTTTTGAAGACGTGGAATGAGGAGGGGGTAATATAACCGAGACTTAAATAAAAGGCATTAATATAGGAGATAGTAAGTGCTGCAATTAAACAATGACAGAACTCTTAACACCGGAATCAGATTTGAGTAATACAAATTTAAAGATAAAAATGGAATCAATGATTTGGAAACTGAGCGGCAGCTCGGTTTCCAATTCTAGTCATTCCAAATTGTTTCAAAAGCTCGTCGAATTACTTCGAGGAGTTTTTAAAACAGAATGACTAGATACATGAAAAAAAAAAACGTAGTCATTGTGCCGTAGGCTATCTGATTCGTATGGGCCCACTAGGCCTACTGCCTAACACCACACACTACCACCATCAGCTCTAATCACCACTATTATAAACAGCCACTACAATAATCTTATCCAATTACCATTACTACCACAACCATAATGAAAACTACCACTACCAACTATAACACTTAGCATTGCCATAAAATTAACTTGATACAGAGTAATACAAGCGCCCCTCGAAGACCTCTAACCCTTACCCACCCTCCACCAAACACAATGTAGCTTTCCTCATCCCCCCCCCCACACACACACACCAAACACTCACTCAGATCGGGGCCCCTTCCCTCCCCCAACACACACTGTCACTCATACTCTGCCTCTGCCCCTGCCCCCTTCTCCTCCACCCCTACATAAACACACACTGTCACTCATACCCTGTCCACTCTCCGCAAACTGTCACATCCCTTTCCCTTCCCCAACACTGCCATTCTATGCTTGTGTCGCTTACTGCCACCTATATTTATCTTGAATGACTACACAAAAAAATATAACAAGCGAGGGTTGAAATAAATAAAAAAATATTAAAAAAGAGTTTGTGTAAACGAACAACAATTTTGGAGGATGTGTAACGCAGTTTGAAGATATCTTACAACGAGTGAATATTACCTCATTTTATTTGAACATAACACCTAACAAGAAACATAGATGATAATCCCTCACTCAGCCACTTGTGTATTTATAAACTGTTCTGGAAATAACTGCTCCCGCTGCCCGGTCTCAGACCAGGACTCAAACTGGAAATGAAATATTACAGGAATGACAACCATTAAGAAACATTGGTGAAAGGTAAAACTAGGTGTATGGTGACTAAGTAGAGGTTTGCAAAATTCACCTATCACTTTACAAGTTAACGAGAAAGAAATTATTATATTTAAGGGAAAGCACTAAACCCACAGGAATCATACAGGGTCTCGGGAATTAGGCTTGATGAAAAAAGGCAGCTCTAATTCCTAATGGGTGAACATGGACAGGTGTCTTACGGAAACACGTCCCTAAAATTTTCCAGCCGTACAGGAGATTCGAACTCCTGATCTCAGTGTGAGCTGAGTGCGATAGCGATCGTGCTACGGGACACAAGAAGGATTCTTGAATTAAGAATCCTTCGACATGACAAACCCAAAAAGGAGAAGTGGATTCAATTCCTTGTATCAAGAACTCTTCAATTTAGTAAGATGCTGGAGTCTACCACCTGTTGGTCTGAAAGTCTCGTATCTACTACAATTCCGGGATCCGATCACCATCCCACATATTATATTTCGCCCGCTGAAATAACCTGTTTGCGTTCGCAGTGATCATTCATGTCTAGAGCTGGAAACTAACAAAGAAATGATTCAAGTCAATCAGAATACATGTCAAGTTATTTTAACTTAAATAACCTACATTTACATTTAGTTAATTAGAAAACTGGCGATTATTATTATTAATCATTATAATAGAAAATGGCCTGGGTAATGAGGTAATTAGGTTGAAGGAAAGCTAGGCTTGCTTAAATTCCTTGGACCAAAACCCCTTCACTGGCATCGTCTTCCTCTAAAAAGGACTATGGAGAGAAACTGATGAAATGGGATAAAAGCTCTTAGTATGTGACATAGTAAAATAAAATGCGCCAAACCCATGAGGGTCATAAACACTATCTTGGTTTGTAAAGAGGTGTCAAAAAACAGGAACATCTGAAATGTGGAAAAAAATTAGGCTTGACTATTTTAACTTAGTTTCACAAATAAGCAGAAGAATGGACTTTGACTAACCGCAGTCCCTGAATGTAATAGGTTCATTATTTTTATTAATTGACAGTCGTTCACTGCGACTTATCTTGAGTTTACTGTCTAACAGTGACTAAGGCTTAAGTGAAGGAATGTGAAGCTTCAGTGTTTATGTCAAGAATAGCTAGTCAACCGCTAAATAAAGCAGGGAATTTCTGACATAAACACCACCGTTAAAGACACCGGGCGTGGATATGTTCCTTGTTAGCTGTAGTGTGTGGTGACAGCCGAACACATATTTGTATATGCACCAAGACACACACCTCAGAATGTACTGTTATTCAGTAGATATACATAATTCGTCCCAGAAGCTGCACGGCAGCGGTGAAGAGTGTCAAATGCTCTACCACAAACAATAAGTAGCCTTGGGTCAGAGAACTATGGCTACTACATTTTACAGTACACCCAATACTAATGCAAATTGTTAATTTTGTAGATATCAGCGGGTTCATATACTAACTTTGGATGCACAGCACGTCTATTCAAATCAACGTTAAAAGTGTCACGCACCTGGCCGAATGTAAACAAAGACGCATATCAACCGATAGCAAAGTAAGGTTAGATTACGTTAGATTATTTTGTGTTAGGTTGGGTGGGTTTCAGTAGGTCTGATTACCTTTTGCACAACAAAATACCTGAAATGTAAAAATCAACTTAATACTGTATAATAATTCAACAACCTACAACTAATGGTCGAAATATGCCGGGGAGCAGTTTATATTATAATCATGGGGGTGTGCTAAACCCGTAGGATTATACAGCGCACAAGGGGGGATGGAAGATATTCAGGCTCAATTCAGGGAACTGAAGCACAGATCCAATTCCATAGATCAAGAGCCCTTCGCCAGCATCAAGGACCCTCCCTTGAGGGGTGCCGGGAAGCAGTCGTTAAATTACCTCTAAATGACCCGGGCCTCTCAAGGAAGGTTCCTTGACGTTGGCGAAGGGCTCTTGATCTAGGGAATTGGGTCTATGCTCCCGTTCCCTGAATTAAGCCTGAATACCTTCCACATCCCCCCCCAACAAGCGCTGCATAATCCTACGGATTTAGCGCTCCCCCTTGATAATAATTATAAATCAATGACCCGGGCCAATAAACGGATCATATGATTAAAATCCAAATTAACAATCCCGTGTGGTACCCACACTTCACCCATATAAAGGAAACCTACAGTGCCCTTCCCATACACCAAAATACAAAGTTACTAACACCGTAACAGTGTGTACTCGGTAACTGGCTAAGCATTAAAGTTAGCTCTAAGCTTTATATAAAAAATCCAAATGGTTTTAGACTAATATAAATCTGTACAATGGTTCTGGGAGCACAGATGATGTAGGTCTACATTAGTGATCAATTACGCAGATTTAATCTAGGATAACCCAATCAAGTCAGTGTGAGTTCCAAGAATAACACTCGTGTTCAGACAGGCTTCAGGTCTCACTGTTATATATCTTCTATACTCACTTGAATGGCGGCCTCTGCTTGGCTGAAGTGCCCCAGGAGGTTGGGCATCCTGGTGGTGTTGTAGGGCATCTCCTTACACATGGGTATAGTAATCCTCTCACACTTCCTAGGTGCTGCGGCTAACCCTGTGTCTAGCTCCAGTGCCCATCCTCCCAGCCAACACAACACGCTCGTCCAAATCACTAAATTCATCATTTTCACTATTATTTTTTCAATTATCTCGTAGGCCCTCGTGTGGGGAGGGGCCAGAGGGGTGCACAGAGAACAATCAAGGGCACGCCATGGGCACGGGGCTCCTAGAGAAGAGTTCAATAAAGAGGGAAGCGAGGTAGCATGGATGAGCGAGGGGCGGTGATGTTCGCGTACTAACACTACCCAGGTTAGACTTCAACTGGAGCTGCTCTTCCTCTCTCTTTCTCACTCACCTTCCTCTCCCTCCCTCCCTCCCTCACTCCATCCCACCTACCTCACTCCATCCCACCTACCTCACTCCCTACTTCATTCACTCCTTCCCTATCTCACTTCCTGCCAAAACTTATCCACTTTCCTTATTCCTTACCAGGCCTAAAAGGCCATAATTCCAGATAGTTGGCCTGTTAAGTTTATTATGTACAGGTACACGTAAGTACAATTATCATAGTGTAAATTACTTAGGATAGCCCAAAAACTTTAAAGCCTTTTACTGCACGCCAGACTTTAAACTCAATGACTTGTTTCAGTTATTTTTAGTAGTATAGGGAGCTCTTTGTGGATTTGAATTATTGGTGTCTTGGTTGTAATTTGTAACCATATTAATATTATTAAAGAAGGCCAAACTAGTAACTGTATACAACGCCTAAAGAATGGGAGACAATTAGGTTTGATCCGAAGAACTGGAAGGCTGTTTAAATTCCCTGGATCAAGAGCCCTTTACACCTTGAAGGAGCAGTGGCCACAGCAAGACCTGAGGGACAGTAAGTGATGGTGGTCGTGACTGTTTGCTTGTGGTAAAAGATTTTATTATTTATATTGGATACACTGTAGTGTGTGGCTACGAAGATGGTGGTTATTATTTTTGTTGTGAGTAGGTAAGTTTTTATTCAGGCTTTGGGTATATAACACGATTTTTGTTTTACAATGGTCTTGATGGCACATACGATAAAGGCATGCACTAGAAACCTAGATAACCAGTCGTAATGTTTGGTGAGCTATAATGATAACGGTGGTACAGTGGTAGGTATGATTGTGTGTGAGTGAGTGATAGTGTGTGTAGCTTGTGGTGTGTAGCGATGGTGGTTTAGCTTGTGAATGTGGATAGCTGTGGATTTAGCTTGTAGCAGTCGGTATGGTGGAGCTGTGTTGATGGTGGTAGCTGTGGTGTTTGTAGTGTGTAGCTGGGTGGTGGTAGTTGATGGTGGGCTGGGGGTGGTGGTAGTGGGTGATGGAGCTGTGGTGGGTGGTAGCTGTGGTGATGGTGGTAGCTGTGTGTGGTGGTAGCTTTTGTGATGGTGTAGCTGTGGTGATGGTGGTAGCTGTGGTTATGGGTGGTAGCTGTGGTGATGTGTGTCGCTGGTGCATGGTAGCAGCTGGGATGGTAAGTCTTAGTGACTGGGGTGGTAGAGTGGTGTGGTGGTGGGAGTGTGTCGTCATGGAGTAGTGGTGGTGGTTAAACAGATACAGCTTTACCTTTCAGTTCTCTTATAGATTTGTGATTATTATTGTTTACAGATGAAGGCTCACAAGGTGCGTTCCACACCAGGGCGAGTGTGTTCCGCACCAGGGCGAGTGTGTTCCGCACCAGGGCGAGTGTGTTCCGCACCAGGGCGAGTGTGTTCCGCACCAGGGCGAGTGTGTTCCGCACCAGGGCGAGTGTGTTCCGCACCAGGGCGAGTGTGTTCCGCACAGGGCGAGTGTGTTCCGCACCAGGGCGAGTGTGTTCCGCACCAGGGCGAGTGTGTTCCGCACCAGGGCGAGTGTGTTCCGCACCAGGGCGAGTGTGTTCCGCACCAGGGCGAGTGTGTTCTCACAGGTATCACACCACAGTATACATTAAGTGACTTTGAATTCCCCGCCAAACATGAAAAGTTGACCAAACAAACATGTCCACACCTCTTTAACACAAAAACAGACATGTATATCAGACCCCCCCCCCTTACCTACAAACAACTCCTCCCAATACATAGTGAGATTATTATTATTATTAATCCCTGAGAGGGAGAATCTTATTGGTTACTTAAGTTTTCTTTCTTTCCACATTTTTTTTCCTACTTCCAACTTTTCGTGTTTCTTTCGCTCATAACTCGAGAATGCCTCATCGGATCGGCTTCTAATTTTCCACGCTTGTGTACGGCAACTAGGACCAGATTCTTTGAACAATTGGCATGTGCAGGTTCCTTATGAACAGTCGTTGATGACCCAGTCCCATTATTATTTAATCAAGGGTAAGGTAAACCCGAGATTATAGCGCTGGGGGGTATATTGAAAAATTAACTTAAATTTCGGGAACTGGACAGTCAATTCCTAATCAAGTGCCCTCATCATGGACCTTAAAATTGGAATTCCATTTGGGCCAGTCATTCTAATTGGCTCAAATAATTCAAAAATCTGTAGCGTTTCAAATATGATTGAAATATTGTATTTACATTAACTTTCCATAATACTTCAATTAACAGTTTATTTTGATATGGTCCTCTTAAAAATGTGAATTAGATTTGGGCTGATTCTGATTACCTTCCTAAGTAAAGGAATCGATTGGTTATTTCCAGACGAGCTTGTGAATTGTGCCTGATTCACTTAAAACTTCACCAATAGAAACTTTAATTCTGTCAAACTTCGCCCTCTCAAACTACCCGAAGTCTCCTAGCCGTATTCGGGATAGCCCCGGCCCCGTCACGACTTACCTGTGTAGGCCTGATCTACATGAGCCCTTACTTTTCATGGGCCGCAAGTCCATCGACGAACCCAGCTCTTGTTTGATCCGGCAGTCCAGCCCTCATGAAGACAACCAGGGTCCTTCCCCGTAATTCCCCTTAATTAGTGGAGGCTGCTGAACAGTCTTGGGCCCCGGACACTTACTGGGTTTTCCTCTATGTACCAGTGACGCCCCTACTTTTCAATGGGTATGTTGCATCGCCTGCCAAGTCTTTGCTTTCGTATGGATGATTGCTGCTTAATAGGACCTCCTCCAGAATCTTCCAGGTGTAGATTATGATGCATCTCTCTCGCCTGCGCTCTAGTGAGTACAAGCCAAGTGCTTCCAGGCGCTCCCAGTAGTTAAGGTGTGTGATGGAACTTACACGTGCAGTAAAGGTTCTCTGTAGGTTCTCTGTACGTTCTCTAGTGCTGCAATTTCACCTGCCTTGAATGGGGATGTTAATGTACAGTAGTATTCCAGCCTAGAGAGAATAAGTTCCGTGACTGAGGCGGCACAGAGGACTGGGATTTTGTAATATGTACCTTCAGAGTGTCCCTAGGGTCAACAACCCTCTGCGGTCCGGTTCCTGACCAGGCCTCCTGCATCAAGGCCTGATCAACCAGGGTGTTACTGTTGGCCACCCGCAGTCTAACGTATCTACGAACCACAGCCCGGCTGATCAGGAACCAACTTTACGAGCCTATTCACTTCTTGAATACAGCAAGAACTTTCCTTTTCACTAGGGGTATTGGACACCGTTCGCTGAGCCTCGTGCCTTAGTAGGAAATGATTTGTGTGTGCAAACTTAGGACCAATTTCTCCAGGATATTCCAGGCGTAAATTATAATGCATCTTTCTCTCCTTCGTTCGAAGGAGTATAGGTCAAAGAACTTCAAATGTTCCTTTGTCTGGTCGATCAGACCAGTAACTGAGGCTTGTTCTGGGATCAGAGCATCGACCCCAAAACCGACTACAGGTAACCCTCTTGAGGTGTTGGCTGATGAAGCCAGAGGTGCCCAGAAGTCTTACAAATTCTTCCCTTGCTATGGGGCCTCCAGACACTCCTTATTGCCCTCACCCCTTACCAACTCTCCCCTCCCATGTGTAGCGCTCATCCGACCCCTCGCTTCCTCTCTTTCTCTTCTTGGAGGGGTGAGGAAGAAGTGGTGGGGGAACTGTGACGGAGGGGAGTATGGTGAGAAGGGAGGTGTTGATGAGGAGGGTAAGTTGATGTGGGAAGGGGGATGGGGGAGAATAACATACCTGTACGTAGGCTACCCGTGGTCGCTTCTGAAAGTAACCGCCTCTTCCTGGCCCCAGACTAGACCTTCTGGTTGCTGACCTTATCGATCAGGCTGTTGGTGCTCGGCCCCCCCCCCGCAGCCCAACGTGTGCACACAGCCCGGCTGATCAGGAACTGATTTAAAGAACTGTGGAGTTTGTTAGTAATTCTAGTTATGCAGGGAGAGTTGAAGACGTAGTCCCTTAAAGCTAAAACTTGAAAATTATTCAAAAACAAAGTTGAAAATATAAACACATTTTTTCACGTATTTATATTACCCCTCACCCCCCCCCCCCGAGTCCAGTTTATATTACCCCCCCCCCCCCGAGTCCAGTTTATATTACCCCCCCGAGTCCAGTTTATATTACCCCCCCGAGTCCCATTTTATATTACCCCCCCCCCGAGTCCAGTTTATATTACCCCCCCCGAGTCCAGTTTATATTACCCCCCCCCCCCGAGTCCAGTTTATATTACCCCCCCCCCCGAGTCCAGTTTATATTACCCCCCCCCCCGAGTCCAGTTTTATTACCCCCCCCGAGTCCATTATAATTCCCCCCCCCCGAGTCCAGTTTATATTACCCCCCCCCCCCCGAGTCCAGTTTATATTACCCCCCCCAGAGTCCAGTTTATATTACCCCCCCCCCCGAGTCCAGTTTTATATTACCCCCCCCCCGAGTCCAGTTTATATTACCCCCCCCCCCGAGTCAAGTTTATATTACCCCCCCCCCGAGTCCAGTTTATATTACCCCCCCCCGAGTCCAGTTTATATTACCCCCCCCCCCCGAGTCCAGTTTATATTACCCCCCCCCCCCGAGTCCAGTTTATATTACCCCCCCCGAGTCCCAATTTATATTACCCCCCCGAGTCCAGTTTATATTACCCCCCGAGTCCAGTTCACATTACCCCCCCCCCCCCCGAGTCCAGATCACATTACCCCCCCCGAGTCCAGTTTCACATTACCCCTCCCCCCCAGAGTCCAGTTTATATTACCCCTCCCCCCGAGTCCAGTTTATATTACCCCCCCCCCGAGTCCAGTTTATATTACCCCCCCAGAGTCCAGTTTATATTTCCCCCCCAAGTCCAGATTATATTACCCCCCCCCCGAGTCCAGATTATATTACCCCCCCCGAGTCCAGTTCAAAATTACCCCCGAGTCCAGTTTATATTACCCTCCCCCCGAGTCCAGTTTATATTACCCT